TTTGATTTGAATTTCTTGTGATGTTAAATATTTTTTCATGTCCTTATTTACCATCTGTATATTTTCTCCAATTCACATTTGAGCTTATTTTCTAATTGAATGTTTTAAAGTGTTGAATTTTTTTTTTTTTTCCGGTACTAGGAATCGAACTCACAACCTCACGTGTGCCCGGCAGGCACTGTGCGGCTGAGCTAAATCCCCAGCCCCTTAAAGTGTTGAATTTTGATAACTCCTTTATTGATAACTTGTCTTCTACCAACTTCATAAATTGTAGATATTTTCTCGCAGAAGATAGCATATCTTTCATCACCTTTCACAGGGCAAATATTTCTAAATTGATGTGCTTATTTTATAATGAAGAAATATTACATGTAATTGTGAAAAAAATAATCTATTTCTAGTCAGTTTTTCAAAAGTATTCATTATATGGATGCCCAAAGAAATGGCTACATGTTTTAAAATAGTATTGTTAGCTCAGAAAAGAAAATATGAAATAAAAAAAAAAAAACTTCAACTAATAATAAATAACTCCCATTTATTGAGTGTTTTCTCTGTGCTGGGCACTGTAACATAAAGCAGGTGTTCTTTTTCTTCCACATCACAATGGTGAAGTGAATGTATCCAGGATAAGCCCACCAGAGACACGTACATAAGGTGACGGATGTTATGTTTGAGCTCGCATTAGGTAGGGATGAAATATAGAGAATCTGTGGATTGTTTCAGCAGATTTATCATTTATCTTAAGCAAATTTAAATTTATCTGGAGCTTTAAAGTGGGCCAACATTCTATGAGGAATGTAATCATTATGTACTGCAAACAAGTGCTAATAAAAATAAAAAATAAAAAAACACAATAAATAAGCAGTTAGCCTTACACTACCTTCTCATAGAATAACAATCCTTCATCAGAGCTCAAGGTTTAGTATTTCTGAAGCAGTCACCCCCAGAAATAATTACGCCATCGTGGTGAACTCTGAAAAGAGCTTCATCTGAGAGCATTCAGAACATAATTTGCATATAGGCACGGTACAGGATGGAGCATTTTGAGAATAATTTTCTTTTTAGTAAATGTATTTTCTTTTTTTTTTTTTTTTTTTTCTGCTACCTGGAATTGAACTCATGACCTTGCACTTGCCAGGCAGGCGTGGTGCCACTGAGCTAAATACCCAGACCCAGTAAATGTATTTTCAGTGGCAAGTTTCTATAACTTTCACAATCTCTGAGTTATGTTGTGCCAAATGAGGACACTACTATGTTTAGGGACTTTTATGTTAATTATTTTCTTTGTCTACAATTGTTCAAATTAATCTTCTGCATTTTAATGTTGACAATATTTCTTTAGAGCTACATCTTTAGTGTTCTTCACTACCAAAGATTTCACCACTAAGACATTCTTTCCAGCACAATTTCAAAGATATGGTTGCATTTATTAAAAACTCATTAGAAATATAGTAAAGCTACTGTGTTTTAAAAATTTTCAATTGTGTACTCCTAAATTACCTGAAAAATTTTTTTAAACTTCACATAAAGGACTCACATAAACCATTTAAATTAGAATTTCATTAATGAGTGAGACTCAGGGATTGCTATTTTTAATGGTTTTACAGATAATTATAATTCACAGTCATGGATGAGAAATTGAAGTGAAATTTGGTATGTGATGGAAAATGTTAACAGGTAGCTATCTCTATAAACTCTTAATTTTTAAAATTCCTTTTTTAATATCTTCACATTTTAAATTCCATATTGCATAGCACATTGATTTAATGTTGGGTCTTGTGTGAAAGGAATGAATGAGACAGACAATAATAACATATTATGAACATTCCTTGGCTTAAAATAAGATGTATGAGAATCAAAGCAGGTAGATTAACTTTTTACAGCAACAGAAAAGACAGTTAAGATGGTAGATTTTTCTCTTATTAAAAATTTTTAATTTAGATGGTAACTTTGTTTATTTCATTTACTTAACATATTTATTGATCTCTCTTATTTGATACCTAAAGAAAGATGATTTTAAAAATTATAAAAATATGTCTTTTAGAAATAGACACTTTTACTGTTAGTGCACTCTTCAGACAAAACCTACAGTACTTTTGAGATTGTTAAACTTCTGTCAACACTCAACGAATCTTTTAGCACAGACATAAATATTTTTCTTTGCATTGGTTACAGGAAAATCTCATATATGTGCTGACATTTCACCTGTGTTGTCATAGATACTGATCTGAATTCTAACATCATTGAGTAATTTTAATTTCACTAAACAACTATTAGTTTATTTCTTAGTGGTTTATCTTTTGAAATATTAGCACAACAGAGATCTGATCAGAAATTAATAAATATATACCAATGAATTCTATGGTATTAGTAGCACTTAAGTGTATGATAGCAATAAAGTGCACAATCTTATGATGCAAAAACACTAGTAGACTTGCTAAACATGTCCAAACATACTTACACTGATGTAAGTAAAACATATTTACTAATAACTTTACATTTATAATAGGATTTACAGAATATTGCAGTTGTTTTATCAAAGCTGAGCAAAATGCACCCAAGAGTATTCAGTATACATTCACTATACATATAGAAAAATGAAAATATGTGTAGGGGGATAGACGACATTTACCATATGCAATATAGATTCATTTAGGGAGTTTGATTTTTTTTTTCTTGTGAAATGCGAAACTATTAATGTAAAACTATGCAATCTTAAAACTGATGTACAAACCTAAGTCATTTTAAATACACAGATCTATTGAATCACTGCTATTTCTCCCTACCTATCATGGTATCTGGTGAAAGTATAATGTGAAAAATTTCACTGTGAGGCTAATTATACTTTGACTAGAGGTCTGGAGGTGCAGCTCCTTGGTAGAGGGCTTGTGAGCAAGAACAAGACCACATGTGTTAGCCCTGTGTTTCACCACAACAAAACAGAATGAAACGAAAACCAAAACGATAATTTAAAAAATGTAAAAAGGAAAAGAAGAAAGAATTTTACTAGAGACAGCATCTTTAGGACAATTTATAATTTGCCTAGTGCATGTAAGCAATCCATTTATTCAATGTCTCCACTTGGTTTTCTCTCTTTCAGACCTCATATGGTTAGGGAACATATTAAGTTACATCACGGGTCCCTTCCCACGTACCCTCATAGACCAGAAGCAAAGATTTCAAGAGTTATACTCTAATGATCTCTGACTCAAACTCTGTAACTGTACTGCTCTGTTTAATTCTGCATTACACAACACGTATTAGAGAAACTGCAGGTTTGTAAGGTGGATGAGAAAGTTGACATTGTAGGTGAATTTGGAGTCAGGCACACTCAGACTGAATGTATATCCTCCTTCCCTAAAAGAGTTAAACAAACTTAAACAAATGCATTCCCTAAGACAGGACAGACAAGAATACTGATTTCAATAATCCAGATAAAACAAAATAATAGATTAGTCTATCAAAGTCAGGGCCAAACCTAATAGTGTAAATGCAATGCCTTTACAGTTACTGGAGATGGCTCACAAATCTGACTCTTCCATTTCCTGGCAGCCAAAGCAAAGGGAGAAATATGATCAGTTAAAATTTTATGTTTTCCACATATGGCTATTTCTGGCACAGAGCCCTGAAAGAAATTTCTCCCATGGGTCCTTGGATAACGAGGTCACACTGTATGATGTACTGCTTTCACTGTATTCCAGAAGTATGAGAGAAGGTCTCCTATGGCTATCTCTTACATCATCGTTCATTCAAACTGACGGCACAATGCCAAACCTCAGTTCAGCAAGAGAACCAGGGAGAGACAAAGATACAACAGTTTAAACATGCAGGTCTCTGATAGTTTGGCTTGACTGAGAGATACAACTCTGAATATCCACAGACATGAATAAGCTGCATTTTACAGTATACTTGTTCGTACAATTCTTGGTAAACATGTGACAATGTAAATTTTGGTGTGATCGTTTGTGCCACTGATCAATGGTCAAGGTATCCTTTATTGCTATCCTTCAGGCAGACAGTGAAGCAGAAGGTACTGTGACTTGCTTGTTCTGAAAATGAAGCGACCTACATTGAGTTTTATAGCATAAATAAGCATGTGCTGACTTTTAACTACAAAATACCAAACCATAAAATAGGGATGTGATAATTTGTTTATTTAACTATTTTCCCTTAGTAATTAAAGCTAATCACCCGCATTGGTCATCAAAAAATATGAAAACTACATCCCTGAAATGTCTCATTTCAAAAAACTGTGATTTTTCTTATGAAAACTTCTCCAAGCAGAGCATACCATAACTCAGGAAAAAGCTGGTATATTGTACAGACTTGTTGGATTATTGCTACTTGATTAAAATATATCTAATAAATCAGTGATGCCCCCTGGCCTCAAATTCACTATAGCTGAGAGTTATTTAGATTATATTTGAAATTCTCTCTGTGTACTGAACTCTTGTTATTCTCTCCAATCTTCCTTGCTTCCCTTTATTCCTTCTTTCTTGCCTTCTTCATCCTTTTTTTAAGTAGAAGGATTACTTGTGGATGGTTCACATCATTCCCTGAGTGGGTACTGAGGGATCTACTTTGTATGTCTGTGTATCTGTCCACGTGTGCATTTCTACAAGTAGTTAAGGGTTTCAGGTGTTCATGGAACCTCATAATTACTATTAAAATGAGACCTGATCTTACTAAGCATTCTAGGAGTTAGGTATATGCTACTTGGGAATGAAGATTTCTTAACTACTCTAGATAATATTTTTCTTATTTGTAAAGTACAGTTTTCATTCTTCTCAATGTCATAAGATAGTTTGGATAATTAATGCTGATATATGTTAAATGCTTATAAAAATGTAGTGTTTCTCAGCCAGTTAGGACAATGTATCTCTGTTTTATTACTAGCAGATCTCATATTTTAAGACAAAATTCTGAACTTTCAACCTCAAATCCAGTGGTTGCAACTTAAGTGACTGCACTTATTTTTAAATTGTATAATTTAATTACAGGTCTATCAATAGACTATGTGGAAAACAAGCTTTATTGGATCAGTTCAGGAAATGGAACCATAAATAGATGCAACTTGGATGGTGGTAATTTGGAAGTAATAGAGTCAATGAAAGAAGAATTAACAAAAGCTACAGCCTTAACTATCATGGGTAAGTGCAATGATTCTACAGTTATGGTGCTTCTCGTTGATTGGGGTTTGATTAATTATGACCTGTTGAAAGATTACAGAACTTACTGCTCCATTAACCCCAAAAGCACATTCAAATTGTACTTCTCTATGAGATTTGTTTTTTAAGTTGAGGAAACAGACTGATAAAATTATCCAGATCAGGGACTTAGTACTGTTGGCAATACCACCTGCACTCACTGATTCTTGGCTTACTGCGAATTGTGTTATTTATGCTTCTTTTCTGTGCTCTACCTCATTGCTATAAAGTGCAATGACCTTGTGTATCTGTCACAACAATTGAAATGTGGTTAATCTTTGTGAAAACAGGTAGCTTGATACACATAGGTAACTCAAAACATAAGTGAACAGGGACCATTTGACCAATGAATGACACTGTTAATGTCAAACAATAATCTTTCCATTTCTTCCCATGTTCATGTTTAGGAATAAGTACAATTTTGTTGATTTGAGTCTTTCTTTTTTTTTTTTTTGCATTTGGTCTTCTGGAAAAAAAAAGTTCCAGGCAACTGCAAAAGATGACCAGGAGCTAAGAATGATGCATGGTTTCCCAAAGAACAAATAATCTCTAAAGCATTGATACTAAAAGTTAATTTTTAAATTGTAACATATTTTTAAAAGACAGTTCAAGTTTTGATAGGATGTGAGAGTGTGAAGATACTCTATTTGGTGGGGATGGCTGTGTTTTTGCTTTGCAAGTGGTAGGCTTCTAAGTAAGACGGCCAAACACATGGAGATTAAATATTCCAAAGAATCGCAGTGGGGGTGAGTAACACTCACATCCACGGTGGGCCTTCCCATTACCACACCAAGAATTCTGCCAAACCTATGAGTGTACGAATGTAGTAATCACACACCCTGTATGCCAACATCACACATTAATCGCAGCACCACACACTCTAGATCCAGCACCTCTGAAAAGCCCCACCTGTGACCGCTTGAGGCTTTGGGGAACATCTAGAGTCAAGTCATATACCTTTGATTTCCAATCAGTACAAAATATGAATGAAGTGAAAAATATTTAGACATTCAGATTATTATATAAAACATAATAAATCCTTGTCTTTCTTTTGAAAGGCAAAATGAGGTTGTATTAACCAATCATAAAGTGGTCCCTATGTCAGTATTTATTGTGGAAAATACAGATATTCAGTGTATCTGCCTATATTACACTGTTGTGAAAGTTACTGGGGATACGTGTGAATGTACTTTTTAAAAACTTTCATGAAACTCTTAAAAATAAAACGTTATGTCACTTCATTTGATCCATGAACACTCTCTAACTTTACCTAGTTGGACATTTCTAGACACTTAATGTCACTCCAAAAGGCATTTCAATGGCTTTCTTTGCTGTAGATTTTTCATAAATTGCTACTCTACTATCACTTTTATTAACAATCTTTTTCAATTTTTTTTCTTAGAATTAGAGTTTTTAAAATCATTTTTCCCTAGCTGAAAAATTTAAACTTGTAAGAAAGGAAGCACTTTTTAAAAACTTAATGTTCAATTTCCTTCCTTTTTTTGCAATTTTTGTGCTGTTTTTGTGGCATTATGTTGATATTTTTCTTATTCTGTGTGTCTAGAAGCTGCAAACACACATACACACACAGAAAATACAGGTTGTATGTGACAGGTTTATGTTATTTTAAAGTAGAAATTTATTTACAATTGTTCTATAAAGCCTATAAAATATTTTTAAAAGTTTATTTTATATTATTCAACCTTGCCAAATTAACATGGAAATTTTATTTTAAGTGCTTTTTTACACATGTTAAATCACTTGCATATAAGTAAACACAGATTAAATACTTTAATATGGTTGAACAGTAATTCTCATTATGTTGTTAAAAGTCGAATTCCAGTATTTCCTGAAATCAATCCAAACTAGCAGGCAATATAAACAAATCCAGTAAATTAGAGAAAACATTTTAAAATTCAATCATAAAAGTTTTAAGGAAATCCGTTGAATTTTTTTGATCATTTGTATAGTAGACATATAATATATAGCCTTGGTGAAATATTTAAGACTATGAAGGTTTATTTCTCTTAATAGGAATACCACTAATCCTCTTCTGAGTAGGAAATGAATGCTAAATTTGCAAAACTCAGTCCTATGAATACAATTTCAAAAATGAATCAGGTCTATTTTAGCAAAATATGCCATTAGAGAATTTTGCTCTCTGAGTGAACAAAATGGAAGAAAGTTTGTGTTAAATCATAATGTATTATATTATTATATTATTATATTATTATATTATATTATTATATTAATGTATTATATTATTATATTATGTCAGCATTGTGAATCTGCTATAACATGAATTCTGAGTAGTAACCCAACCTTGAACAAAATAAAGTCTTTCACTACGTGAATGGTTATGTATGAGGGGATATCAAATATGTGTGAATGTTTAAATTTAAAGAATATCTTACACTAATAGACACATTGCCATTAATCCCCTTCAAAATCCTCATCCTGGCTTTGACAACACTCATCTCATCATTCCTGGCACTTTCTGAAGCAACATCTGAAATCCTTGTTAATGTCGTTATGAGAGATGTGATCAAACACTTGGTGAATGTTGTTGCCAGGTGTCACCCAATGGAAGGGAGGCTCATGAAATCATTATGGTTTGTCCTGAGCCACGGTTGGCACTCCGTCTGGCATTGATCGTGCAGCTTCTAGATCTTTGCCAAAGTGAAACGACAGTGAAAGTTAAACATTTTGAGTGAATTCAGTCCATTGAGGCAGCTGTTACAGTGCAACTATAGACATGAAAGAGGATTTCAAAGAGGCTTGAGAAAGTTGCAGGAGGAAAGGGATACTGTGAATGTTGTGAGGGGTATTAATGGTGCTGTGAATTTTACTGTAGTAACTTTATAAAAACTTTAGATACTTTCTCTCTCATAATTAATATACATATGTATACTGTCTTGGTTACTTTTCTATCGTTGCTGAGACAAAATACCCAATGCCCAAAATTAAGGAAGGAAAGTTTATTTAGCTTATAGTTTGTGGAGGTTTCAGTCCATATTTGGCTGGCTCCAAGGCAGAAGATAGCAAAGCAACAAGAGCAAAGGGGGTGTTATGGTTTGTCTGTGTGTCCCCCCAAAGCCTCATGCAGCCATGGGTCAGGCTATTAGAGTTTGATTAAGGGT